ATAGCCTTTGTTGATGTACTTGAATAAGTACTTAATTAATGTACTTTGATTGCACCATTCCATGTTAATATGAGCTTTAAACTTCAGCAACAATTTTGCATTGTATGTAACAACATTCCTATTATCTATTTTAATTCCATTCTTAACGGTTGTGTGACCATTGTCCCTTCTTCTATAAATCGGATACTCATCTTGATCAACAATTGTGTTTCTACTAAAATTCTTTAGGGAAGTATTTAGAATATTTGTATTGGATTGATCCGCTATGAGAGTATTACATAGAATGTTATGCAAAGTATCATAAGTTACTCTCATGGTGATAGTGGTGTATACCACTCTTCGACTTGAAACCACTATGGATCCTAGATGTAGAGTTAGGTATTTTATTACTGATCTAATATTGTCCGTAAAAGGATGACCATAAAGACAGTTGATGGGTACTCCACGAAGCATGCTGAGAGACATGAGTGACTAAATAAAATTTGCTCATCCTGCATAACAGGATAAATGTCTAAGGGTCCAATATTGAATTGGACAAGAATGACACGGTATATGTCTTGTGTTCAATATAGACATAAGGGCAAAGGGGTAATTGTACACACAAGTACTATCACAAAAAAATTTGTTAGATCACATGACATTTTCGTGACTTGAGTAACAATGATGTGTTGTTAGATACCGCTCATTGTTTATTATATTAAATATATTATTTAATATAATTGTCAACGTTACGAGAACATAAAGGGTCACACACATAAGGACAAATTGATGAGAGAGAAAAATAATAAGGAACACTGTAAGGTACAGTGTACTTGAGAGAATTTTGAAACACCGTAAGGTACGGTATACTTAAGTGAAATATGAAACATCGTATAATATAATAATAAGAGTTAATATTATTATTATTATTATAATATAGTAATAATAAAATATATTTATTATAATAATGGTTATTATTATTATTATTACTATTATTATTATTATATGGTGTACTTAAGTTGGACCTTTTAGCTCGCAACCCACACAAGTGGTTCTATAAATACAACCCTTGTGTAGAAGTTTTAGAACTTGATAAGATTCAGTTGGTGAAACCCTGACCGTTTTTCTCTCCTTTTCTCTCTCACTCAAAGTTTTCATTCGTAGCAGTTAGCACTAAGATTGAAGGCACTTTGTTCGTGTGGACTGAGTAGAGACGTTGTTCTTCATTCAAAGCTCGTGATCATTCATCTGTATCTGCATCAAAATTGTTAATCACCACAATAGGTAATCGTTTATATCACTGATCATGCTCATTCGTAAGGATCACTAAAAAGAAATTTTAATTTCCGTTGCGTTTTGGATCGCGATTTCTCTTCACCTCAGAATAAAGGGTTCCCCTAAAAAGGTCAAATTGACAAATATTGACAATTCTACAAAGTGGTGTCCTTCTTACTTTGAACATGTTGACTCACATTTTTCGAATTCTCCAACTCATAAATCTCAAAAAATTGTTTTCAAGGGTGCTCGCATTAGCAAACCATCGCCCTCACCACTGTTACCAAAAATCATCCACGTTAAAGAGATGTCACTTTTATGCACAAATGCATTGATGTCACTATTAAAGTGTATGATTCTCCTATCCTTTACTGAGCAAACCCGAAATAACTCAATAACCGCATATATTGGCATGTCGCGTTTGTCTCTCATCTTATCATATTAACAAAATCACATCACACCAGAATGCACATATATTGACATGTCGCGTTTGTCTACTTTAACGGTGTGAGACCCTCACATGAATTTAGGGTCACATAGTACACCTTTCTTGTAGATCTAAAATTCATAATAGAGAATCTTCTACAATACTTAGACAATCAGAGAGTTGTGAAGCTCGAGTATAGTTCACCCTCGATTGACAACAAATGGAAGATCCAGTTAAGCAAGTTTGAGCTGAAGGCGGATGAAGATTTAAGGATTATGTGGAGTACATTTCACAGTTACGAATCAACGAGTCTGATTGAAGTGTGCGACGATTGTAAGATCGACCAATGATATTATAATGATGTTGCAACATCTTGATGAAATGTAATGTTATATTTATGTTAACGATTATCCATGTAATGTTACGTATTTTTATGTTAATTTATATTTTCCTTCCAATTTGCATTTGTTATTAGTTTGTGGTTTCAACTAAGAGAGCATATTCCGGGATGTATCTCCGTAACACCCAGTGACTTATTATAAAAATGCATCTCCAGACACATTTTTGGACAATATGTGGTGGCTCAGCCACAAAAGCGTTGAGTGTGTGTAACATGGGTGCATCCAAAAATGCATCTTTAGAACCTAAGAATGTTTGTGACTTTTCACTGTGGTGAACTAGCACCTGACTTATATACTTTGTAGCCCCCTTAGCTTTAATGGATCTCACCAATTCGTAAGTATTTTTCATAAGCATGAACAAGAAAAACAAAAGCTAATGGCAGAATTGAAACAACACCAAACAATTTTCTATTTCAATAAACAATCTTTAATGATAATCTTCAATTTCATAACACAATTTTAAATTAAAAAATGAAGGGGTGGTAGCACACAGAGACATCACCCGATAAATAATCGGTCATTGAAGAAACAGAGAGGAAGATGAATGGAAAAAACACAAAAAATACTCCCTCCATTTTAAAATGACTGTCGTTTTAACAAATAAAATTTATTTTAAAATGACGGTCAATCTCACTTTTTGATGTAAAAATGATTGTTATTTTTTTAATTATGTCATTTAATTATTACTCTTCAGACTACTTCTAACACATCAATAAAATTAATTTAATAAACGTGTAACATCTTATAAAGATATTATTGCATTTCTTAATTTTTGTGTAAAAATATTAAAGGAAAGTTATTTTAAACGGATGTAGAAATTGGTAGTCAGAAAAATAGATAAAGATGTCCAGACTAAACACATAAAGTAATTGACCTTTGGGGGAAAAAATGGGATAATGAACTAACAAAAGGTATTTTTGTTGGAGAAAAGTGAAGAAAAAATGTTAAAAGATCAAGAAGAATATGGCAAAAAGTCAGTGTCTACCCTGTTTAAACCACGTCAGCCAAAAAATAAAGCATAGTAGAAGGGACAGGTCAGAAACCTTGACTCGATCGGCCAATGCACGGCGGGCCCGACTCATTTTTGTCACTAATGCTATAAGATACTTTTGTCACATTAATTGTGATTCAACTCGGAAAACTATTAAAATTCAATAGAATGTTAATATAGAACCAAATTGGCTTGATTGGAAAACCAATGTAAACTTAATTTAGGAAATTAAAACTACATGGATCAAAATCACACATCAGTGGAACTACATTAACCAAAAAAAAATTAATCTCTTTAGCCATGTCACTAATTATTTAGTATTTCTCTACAAGTGCCTGACCTTGCATGTTTATAGATACTTGTTTATATATAGTTGGTTTCTATCGAATTATCTTGATTAGAAATGTTAAATGATGAGTTATCAACGGGGTGGCAAAACGAATTAGACCTGTCGGGTCTGCCTGTTTAACCTATAACTTTTGACAAATTGGGATGAAGTTTTTGGCTCAATATCTTAAATTGTCCCACTCTGCTTAACCCACATTTAAAACAGGTCGGGGGCGGGATGGAACGGATTTTGTCCATGGAATTTTTGTTAAAAAAAGTTTATATATTTTTACTTGGAATTAATACAATATTAAGGTGATTTGTAGTAGACATATTTTTAAAATAACGTTCATTTCTTCAAACCCTAATGTTTATTTTTCACATAACCACAAACATTTTATTTTGAAGACATTAATCGATCTGTTTCTTTCTTTATTTTCACTCATAGTAGAAAAAATCTTTATTGCAAAATATAGAGAATATATTATTTTCTATTTTGTATTGTTCGTTGTCGTTGGAGTCGGATTGTAAAGCTATAAGGTAAGTTTTGCACAAAAGAGTTTGTTTCTCATTATGATAATAAAATTTTGATTTGTATTTTATTCTATTTGAATTCTCATTTTATTTATTTTTCGACACTAAAATGCTCAACAACTAAGCTTTAATTTTTCGATTGTTTTATTTTTGAAATGCTTCCATTATTAAATATTGATAAATCTACTTAGTTGTCTTTGTTTAGTTTGTGCTAGTTTGTTTTCTTGATGTATCCCTAGATGTCCTTAAATAGGTTGTGCTTATTAATTTTTTGAACCAAAAAAAATAGTTTGCAATTTTAGTGTGTTTGTTTTAATTTTTAGTATTATAGTTACGTTTTTTATTTACGTTGAAGAATATGACATTCACACTAAGACTGGTTAAAGTTTTACTATGCGTTGTTAAAATTTGTCGGTCTTTTTAATGATGATTAACAATTTTGTAAATTATATAGTAAATCAAATTGTAAAAAAAATGGCGGTCCGACCCGTCAACCCGCCAACTCGTTAGTAAACAGGACAGACTTGACTTTTGAACTCCGACGGCTAAGTTGGTCTGTCCCGCCCCGCTTCGCTTTTGGACGGGCCTAAATGGGGCGGCCCGTCCGCTTTGCCATCCCTAGTTAACAACAAAAAGTGTTGAATAGTGTAAATATTTTGATGCTTTTATTTAATAACCATGGCAGTGCAAACATAATTCCAACATTCATTCACTGATATTTACTAGCAGAAACGTCTACCACAATGAAAAACATGCAAAAATATGATAAAATCTATATAAAATTGGTTTACACTGCTATTGCATAGTTATTAAACTCTATAAAAAATTTCTATTTAAGTAATTCAAAAAGGATGCACACTAGTTATTTTACAATTCGACAGTGTGACAGCCCAAGACACAAACGCAAAATCCCTCGAGAAACACTTTTACGTACACACGTTTTATGTGAGAGGGAAAAAAGAATCATGTATGTTCACACTGGTTGAATGATTTACTGCACTGCACTGATAATTGTAGCATATTATAAGAACTTGACCTTCACCTTGTAATTCACTGCCTTTACTCTTCAGTTGTTTACCGCACACTGGTTAGGTAATCCAAAGTCCTTGTTGTGGCGAACTTGTTTCCTCCAAGGGTCATTATGTAACTTGTAATGCAAAACCTTGTTTGTTTTGATACCAAAAAAATGTGTGGTCAAAAAGTGATATACAGACAAACACACCAATAAATTTCATAGTAAACTACTTTCTATTTGCATGTAATGTTAATGACACAGCATCATGCTACTATTCCTCCATAAGGGAGCTTTTGAAAAGCAGGATTTGTTCAAATGGATTTGTCAGCTAAACTGAGAAGAATTGTTCCTTCTATACAACAACATAAATAACCAAGCCTTATTCCACTAAATATAATTGTTCTTTCTATACAACAACATAAATAACCAAGCCTTATTCCACTAAATGGTGTCGGCTACATGGATCAAACGGCACCATAACGTTCTATCAAATATCATATTTTTATCCAGCTCATTAATTTCGAGATCTTTCTTAATAGTTTCGCTTTTAGCTGCTAATACCTAGCAAAGTGCAACATTAAATCTAGAATAGTTTAAAGATACATACTTGTATTAAAGTTGTGGTGACATCATCCTCTGTCAATTTTAAGAATTCAACTGCCCAATCATCAATATGTCCAAACACAGCTTTTTGCCTTTCAGCTTCAAGCAATATAGAATCGCGATACAAGAATCTTTGCCAGATTTTCTGAACATTTGCTAACTTCAAATTGATTTCTGTTTGATTGAACCCCTGCATATCACCGTGACCAACCATTCATACAATCTTCTTGCCTTAAAATGACAACTATATGCAAAGGCTATGGACTTATATTGTATTATCCCAGTATACAATATAAAAAGGGGAGGAGGCAATGAGTACCCGGAGAATCTTTATCATGCTGGGAATTTCTTCTTCTGGTACTCGAACGGCAAAACTATCATAGTTGAGTACATTTTCGTATGGTAAGAAAATCCCATCCTACAGAACAAAGAAACAAAACAGGCAAAGGTATACAGTTACCATCAATGATAACTTCAATTAGCCACTTTTATCACTAATCAATGAACATGATTCATATTTAGAGTACTTATGATAAGTAAAGCCACAAAACTATCAAGATAAATCACACTATTTCAAATTTTATTGGTAGTGACAAAGCTTGCTAGCAACACAGAGCTAATGACACTTTTAAATTGTTTGCTGGGAGAAAAATAATAATGTAAAAAAAGGGAAAATCCTATTACCTGAATGACCACAGGAATGCATCCTTGCAAAACACTGTCTTCCATGCGTCCACTCCAACCATCACCAGGAAGTACTCCACAGAAAACAGAACTTGCTATATCTGCATGATAGTTATCAGAACGTACTGGAGTCACGATGACATCTTCTGCATGTTGTTTCCCTAGTTTTCCATCCTTGTTGGGGCTTGATCCAAACTCCTTTGCCAACTTCTGTCTTATACCCATACTATACCTGCATCATTTTTTAAACCGGGGTCTTCTTTAACAGTTGTAAAATATATATCAAGATCTAAAGTACGAGTTTAACTTTGCAACCTCAAGGGAAATAGCTCAAATCTCTTCGGAGACGGTTGTAAAATTATCATTAATGCCACTATATTTAATAATAATTTTCCTCTTTTCAATTTTTTTATAAAGAAAAAAAACCTCAGTTGACCAACAATACCCAAGAATGTTTGTTCATAGCAAGTGAGGGAACTTATGCCAATTTCACTCAAAACTTTAGGCAACAGGATATCGAGGTTACTAACTAGACAATGAATATTCTTTGAACACATAACGTCTATCATAATAAAACTTAAGTTTTCTAGTAAACATACGAGTCTTGTGGTCTTCCTTGAGGGTAAGCTGGTCCCAAATTTCCATTGAAGAAAAACAGCGTCTTCCGCTTTTCTCGAGGCCTGAAAAAAATCATACCACGGTTGCATTCAATTTCAAGAACAAAATAAATAGAACAGTAGCTTCAAGCATGACCAGGAAAAGCAACTAAAATCTGATACCGAGCCCAGAATTTTGAAGCCAACACATTAGCATCAGGAACTTTCCAAGCAGGAAGCACGAGATCTTTGTCAGGGTCAAAGCATGGATGAATGCCTCTCATATGAGTTGAAATCTCATCCCAGTTATCAGCCCAATAGGCTGTGGTTGAATGGTTATGTTTTGTATTTGTGTTTCCCCAATGTACTAACATCATGCTGTTCCATATTTCCTTAGGGGCATAACAAGCACCTTCATCCCATGAAAAAAACTGCCTTCAGAGACAAAAGGGAACTATTAGCATCTTCTTACAAGTGAATACAGTTAACTTTACTTCGTAGAAAACTCTTTAATACATAGGAAAAACAATTCTCCTAGTACATACCCAGATGTGGTCCCTTCCTGATGAGCGATTCCAATAAGGATATTGCTCAACAATGTGATGATATGCACTCTTATAATATTCTAAAGTCAGCGAGCTCCTCAACCCCTTATGCCTCTGAACATGTTCGAGGAAAAGTGAGAAACATTATAGGTATCCAGCATTACATAGATGTATCCAATTATATATTCCAAAACGGGGTTTACAATCCAAGAGCAACATAGTCTGAGCATTTATGAAAGTAAGAACAAACAGGTAACAAATGACTAGAAGTATTTTTATCCATCCATCCAAAAAGAGGAAAAGGAACATGAAACTATCGTTTAATTTGATTCCATTTTGAAATTACTACTTAGGTACATCAAGAGAAAGCAAATCCATGAACATCATAGCATTGCTAACTTGCGCAGGCATGAAACAATACATCGCTGATGCAGTCTATTTATTAGATGAGTCAATGAGTAGTGAACATTCTACAGACCTATTTCAGTAAATATAGCAGTTAATAAAATATACCTCCATGCTCAAGTGAGGAGCATCGTCAGCACGAGTTATGATGCATGAATCAAGGACAGGAACAAAGAAAAAATCTGCTTTTTCACCATTTAGTGTTCGATGTGGACTAGCTAATAAACTCTCATAAATTGCCATCTGCAGAGATGCAGGCATGGGGCATAAATATAATGCAGAAGAAATAAAATTTTACCAGCTGAAGTGCTCCTAAATAAAATTCATGGAATACCTGAGCTCCGTACAGGTGCTCTGTCCATACGGTTGCATTACTGCCATCATAAATTCTATTTACACACTCTAACTTGAAATGACGTCCCTATGATAACCAAAAAGAATAAAATAAAAATGACAAATAGAAAAACATAAAAAATCTCTTCAGATGTAAATTGTAATCATGAGAATTGACACTTGGAATATCCTCACCTCCAATAGTAGGCTGTTGTACTCCGGGGGCAAATCATAAATATATATAAGAGGCCTTTTCTTTGCCACCACAGCATTAAGATTGATTATTTTTTCACTGACAGGAATATTGTCAGGAACGTCAACCCGAGCAGGACGAAGCCAACTAGGCCACTCTCTTATAGAAGATATTACTGATGGGGTGCTGCAATCTGCTCCGTACCAGCCATTGTCACACTGAAAATAAGCCTATATTCAATTTATCTATTGATACTGGGTGGAAATGAGCAGTGTTACACCGTATTTAACATGCTGCTTATCTATAGAAGTCGAATGGAAACAAAATAAGACTTCTGTTGCACAGAATGAAAGTAGTTTCATTATATCCTACTGATGTTGTCCTTGAGAAACATATCTGTCCGATTTAAAGCAATTCTTGGTAGTGTTATAATTAGTTCATGTTCTTTTTGGGTTCTTGCTGTTTCTTAAGTCTTACTATTGGTTTAATGGTTTTGTATTCTTCTATTCTATATTTATTTAACGTTGCCCCAATTAAATAAAGTTAAAATTGGGGACTCAGGAAATTCATTTTAAATTGTTAAAGTTTTAGTTTATTTTAAAATTTTATTTATTAAGTAAAGAAACCTTTTAGAGTTGATGAGTTAAGCGAGTTTAAAAAAGGACCACGAATTTGCATAGACTCTAGCATTTAACAACCTGACTGATAACATAAATCATAAATGCACACAAATTGAACAGTGCCTCTGGAAGGTATCCTCAGTAGTAAGCATACGTTATTTGTTTCAAGATTTTTAATCCCTCATCAACCATCCATTTTATCTTTTTCATTTCCTTTCTTCCAGGTTAGTTCTCCTCCATCTTCAGGTTATCTGATTTCTAATTAATGATATGTAGTCAGCAGCAATATTCAAGAGATGAGACTTTTTCATAATGAGCCTAAAAAACTTGAGAAAAAAAAAACTTCATCAAATAAGTTTAGGTAGTAATTAGTTTAATACCAGCCAATCCTACGGCTGCAAAGCAAAACAATAGATGGCTAACGAAGTATTTATTTTTCTAGTAAACAATTGAAATGCTAAAGATAGGTGCCACATTATTAAACAAAAAAATTACCTGGCAAAATCCACCACGACACTGACCATGTCTAGAGCACTGATTAATGCAAACAGATTGAACGGACACTTCACAGAATCGTCCCCAAAGACCATCATATTTGCAATCACATTCCTCTTTGAATTTTACCTTGCCAGCATATGCCCCGACTGGGTCTACATTACACCAACCTAGTATACTACTATTAGTTGTGAACACATCTTGATCAACTATTGTCCAATTCACTAATTTGGGACCACCAGGTTCGGAAGGTGGACTGAAACAGATTTAAGGTGGATATTTTACTAGTAATTGGAAATTGAGGGGAAAAAACTGGCGATTGAAACACAATACTAGTAATTCAATTTTACTTACTTAAATTGAAAGCCACATGTCTCTGCCAATGGCCGAGATGGATATTTTGTTCCTTCTCCACAGAAGCACATTGCCCTGGTTTTATCGCAGTTGGCTGGGCAAATGGATACAACCCATCGGCCAAATGGCTCCACTGGTGATCCTGGGAAGTTGCATTCTAACTCCAGTTTGTCAGTGCATCCATCCCCTGTCACCTCAGAAAATAATATGAATTTCCAAACCATATAACAAATTATGTTTTGGTGCAATCATCAAACATATTCTGAAAATTGTAGCCTAGCAACAAGTTATAATAGTTTACTTCTTTGTCCTGTTTAAAAATGTTGTACCAAAAGAAAATCATTACATTATATAATCAAAACTGATATACCCTAGAAGATTTAGGAATTCAAAATAGTGAAAACAGATACGTCTGATATACCAAAGTAAATTACAAGTATTCTCATTTTTTATTTAGCGACTCTCTTTTTGTTCTTTCATCCCAACTTCCTTTGTAGCATAACAAGTGAAAGGTTTGCTATGGATATGAAGAATTAAACTTAAAATTCATTCCCACTTATTCAGCACTAGAAGAATCTTACATTTAAATGTGTAAGGGTTAACTCAAATATAAAAATAATAGTACGGGCCCAAAAAAATAACATGTCAGTCATTAGTTGGTGGAATAAATGTTGCAGGTAATATATCTAACAAAAACTCCAAAGCACTTTGTAATCTAACAAAAACTCCTCATTAGAGAAACTGATTTTAGGCATATTTGGGGTTTAAAAAAACTCGATACGACTGATTTACAAGTTACCGAAGAATGTGTATGACTGCCGGTGTCCCGATAAACTCTACAATTCTGATCACCAATATATAGAGATGATAAACGATATGTGAAAGCTAGAGCTACAAGTTTAAAAAAATGAGTTATCTTCTCCTATTTGCATCTTCTGATCAAGCATTATGTACTTGGTCAATAAAATGAGTGCAGGGAACAGAACTAACCAGCATAACCATGAAAGCATCGACATTGTCCCAACTCTCGATTACAAACTCCCAGGCCACTGCAGTCATTTTTGCAGTCATTTCCACCTATTATCTGTAACCAATCATATTACAAAGCCGAAAATTTTTACTTTTGGTAACCAAAAAGTAACTCAATGCCAATAACAACCATAAAAGTTCAGCACAAATCTCTGAAATAACAACTTGGAAAGAAGACATGAAACAAAAAAAATAAACAGAATTAGAACATCAATTGTCACCTCGGAAACATTGATTTCCTTTGTAATAGAATCACAACCTGCAAGCCACCGACCAATCTCAGCCTTCCACGGCGCACCCTTATAAGCAACCGAACCGTGCAAGTCACCCGGGAACCGAAGCTTCAAATCAATCGCAGGCTCATCCCAGCCACGCTTACTAATCAACTCTACCGATGCATTAGTCAAAACGCAGGAATTTGAAGCTAGCTTAAAATAATCAAAAGAAGGCGTCAACGGAAACAAGAACAAATGAACTACAGAAACCAATGCCAAAACCGAAGCAATTGTTGCGGCAAGAGACCAAGAACACCTCCAGTTTTTCATAGAGAAGAAATCTAACAGGTCTCTTGCCATTCGATAAACCGAACACTACAAAACAATCTTATCTAATTCACTAATCTCTCTTGACATCATAACCTGAAATCATCAACAATCAACAATCAACAATAAAATAATAGTATAGACTATAGTATCTTCCTTACAATGAGAATAATCAGAATCAAATAACCCTAACCCTACCCATAACCATAACAACACTGCAAAAACTGAATTATGAACTAAGAAGTAAAAACAAACAGTGGCAAGTTACAAGTACTATTACAAATTACAAAAGCAAAACCCTATTTAAATATTGAACACATTAAAAAAGGAATCAAGATTGAATTTGAATAAAGAAATGAAATCATGATTGATAACTTGTGTGGACTCACATTTCACGGATCTGAATCGAAAACAGAGAAACTGATTCAGCTAATGTTGAAGAATAGTAGTGTAAAAGGGCATGGTAATGATTTTGGTCAATGGGTTTACCGAAATTACGTCATTTGTTATTTTGTTGGAAGCACGTTGTGAAGAGTTCAATTATATAGAGGGGGACCACTCAGCTGTAGATTCTCTCCGCTATATAGTACTATTATTATTACTTTACTATATGTGTAATAGGTCATAAATGTACTAACATTCTCTTCACTGAGTTTACCTTCTGGAAACTGTTTCGTGAAAGCAATGAATTTGTTTTTTTGGGCTTTCAATTTTATATATTTATTTATGTATATTTGAGCTGCAAAGACATTTTTGCCCTGCTCACGTTGATGCTATTTGAACCTTTTTGTTTTTGAGGTATGGAGAGTATATTATCCTTCTAGATGCATTTCAAATACATGCGTAAATCAACCTCCTAATTTTATAAAAAAAAAAAACTTCACAAATGTATTTTTAAAATATATCTTAGTGGCACTTCAAATACATGCGTAAATAAATCACACATTTATTTTATTAAAAAAATAATTCAAAAATATATTTCTAGAATCAATCAATTCAAATTATGAAGTCAGCAAACTAAAAAGACAAATAAGTAAAAAAAAAATTATTGAAATTGAAGTATAACTAATGCATAACTTTTTTTACTAACTCACAATCAATGTTTCTTTAGGGGCACACTGACATATTTATTTATGTGTTCAAACACTTTACTAAATAAAATTATTATCCTCAATCATTGAAAGTAGTGGTTCATTTCAATTATGAAATGCATCATATAAGAATTTACAAAAATATGTTTTCATATTGATTCTGGAAATATATTTTTGAATTTTTTTTTTATTTTATAAAATGAGTGAGTGTTTCACTTATAAATATATTTGATTAATTTACGATGCATTCAAAAGTTCATTATTAAAATTTGAGAAGTATTTTTAAACTTTAATTAAACTATTGTTTTAATCTTTTAAATTATTTTAAAATATCAAATTAGTCCTTTAAATTTTTTTGTAACGCTTTGATCCCTTTTTAAAAATCTCCGTTACAATAAATTGCAAACTAATATATCATTTGAATTAGTTTTTCGCGTTGATCAGGAATATGCAATCAAATTTATCAAACAAGTTATGGTTCATGAGATTCAAGTAAAAATGAACGAAATATATAATGAAAAATCAACAATCTGACCAAAATACACAATCAAACGCAAAACTAATTACATATTCGTGATCAGCGCGAAAAACCATATCAAATAGTATATGAGTTTGTAATTTATTATAACGGAGATTTTTAAAAAAGAATCAAAGCGTTACCAAAAAAACTTAAGGGACTAACTTGATATTTTAAAATAACTTAAAGGATCTAGACAGTAGTTTTGCCTTAAACTTTTATAGGATGGGATAAGCAATTTTTTTTTTGCGAAAAAGTAAAAAATGACTTTTCAACATTTAAATGGGACATCGTGTTTTTGTATTTTGGTAGAATATGTTTTTATTTGTGTAAAATCATATGAAATTAAAAGTAAGTAAAAATATTATATTTAATTAATTGATATTTATTTATTTGTAGGCCATGTATTTTTTTAATGCATAAAAATATAAATATAATATAAAAAATACAAAAAGATAAAATGTGTTATTATTTTATTGAATGTTGTTTGAAATTTAGAGTGTTGTATTTATAGAGAAAAATATTATTTTATTGAAGGTTGTATTTAGAGTGTCCCTTCTTTTGTTTCTTATCTTTAGTTTCAAGAACTACGGAGCTCTTATTTTCTCATTACACTATGAGGATACGTAGGCACGAGAACCTCAATCGTTCACGATAAAAAAATTTCTCGTGCAAAGAACAAGCAAATGGTTTCCGTCGAGAACGACGGATGTGAGGGATGTTAATACCTTCCTCTCACATAAATGACTCTGTAACACCCCAATTTTAGTAATTATTTATTTAATTATATTAATTAATTAATTGAGTGATTTTATACATATTTGATTTAACTGAATTATAGACTTATTTGAATTAATTGATTTATTTGATTTAATTAATTTATTTTATTTATTTTATTTGGTGGAATAAAATATAGAATTGGTAGAGTTAGTAAATGGGCCTAGATTATGGGTGTTAACAGAAAGTGAGAAAGTGGGTTAGTAAGCCCAATAGACTAATGAGAAAATTGTGAGATTGATAAAATAAGAGAAAGAAATAGAATAGGGTTAGAAGTTGCAAAGGAGACTAAGAAGAGAAAAAGGAGAAGAGAAGAGGAACCTAAGAGAAAACTCAAGAATCCAAGAAAATCAAGGTAATTGTGGGTTTTTATATGATTATTGGGATTGTATGATAGTGTATCATATTTAGGATAAAAATCTCTAATTTCCATGATTTTAAAATTGATGATTACATGATGTATGATGGTAGAATTTTTAAATGTATATTGTGGGTTGTTATAATTGTCATATAACGGTAGTAATTCGAATTCTGGAACTGAGACTTTTTACAGAATTGAAATCGGAGGTCCAGGAGGCCTCCAACGGTGAAAAACGCAGAAAATTCTACATACCACATTGTTTGTGTAACGCCGCAGTTCTGATTTCCAATTTTATTGAGTCTTTTGATTTATTTGGGTGATTATTATTTTAATTGTGAAATTGATGTGTTAATATGTTATGTTTGCATATTATGCTATTTTACCGATTTTGAGAGTTTTCGGGGAAAATAGATTGGAGGGTATTTTAGACATTTCTTATTTAATGATAAGATGAGATATTTTGTGAGAAAATGGATTAGTAGATGTTTGGAGAGAAATAGAATAGAAAGAGATATAAGTGGAATAGAGGGAAAAAAAAGAAAAGGATAGAAATAGAAAGAAGAGAAGGAAGAGAAAGAAATAAGGAAGAAGAGAGAATTGATTAAAAGTGCATGATGATTATAATGGAGTTCGTTGCCATTTGGCGCGATATTGTGAATGCATATTGATTGTATGCGATTGTATGTGAAGCATCATGATGTGTATTCTTGTGCATTGCTTGATAAATGTAGTGATGGTGTTGAAAGTATGAATATTTTGATTATTATAAAATGTGTTGTGTGTGCTGTAACACCCCCTTTCTATACCCCCAAATAATACAAATAATCATTTAGGCATAAATTCAAAATTCCATCAGAGTACATTTATATTACATTTATATCACGGCATAAAAGGGGCATATCACATTATACCAAAAATTCAACATATACAACACATGCTCAACAGATATGCAACAACGGGGCAACACCCACAAGGAAAATATTTAGAACATAGGCGGAAACATCTAAATATTTCATAACTTCCAAAACATGTAATCACATACATGTACATCATTCAAGTTGATTTACAACATCGTCGATGTAAACAATATTCATCCAGCATGTTTCATAAACATTCATCAGCAGATACAAACATAGATGTATCACAAAAGAATCAAAATAATCCCTAGCTACCCGGTGCTACATATCAGAGCCGACCGACCCAAAAGAATGAAGCCACGCTTCACAAAGACTCCAGCAATCTAATCTGCAATACCTCATAGAGCATTATAAAACAGCAAAAGGGTGAGAAACGATATCATAATACATAATGCATATATATATATATATATATATATATATATATATATATATATATATATATATATATATATATATATATATATATATATATATATATATATATATATATATATATATATATATATATATATATATATATATATATATATATATATATATATATATATATATATATATATATATATATATATATATATATATATATATATATATATATATATATATATATATATATATATATATATATATATATATATATATATATATATATATATATATATATATATATATATATATATATATATATATATATATATATATATATATATATATATATATATATATATATATATATATATATATATATATATATATATATATATATATATATATATATATATATATATATATATATATAACAATTAAGCATTCTCCGCGTTCTCACCACAACTCCATTCACCAATCCATACACCGCAACGTGTCCACACACGTATCTATATATAAATAGAACACCAAGCATACACAATATACTTCATCAATGTTTATATTAATTCATAAACATACACACGTATACATATATATTCACACATACATGTATCTTCAAGCCTTCCATTCATGCCAATTATCAACAATTTACATAAACATCTACATTCATGTTTATTCACCATACATCATGCACAGATGTCAACATGCAACTCATAGAGACCGACACACGATTCTATGCAGATGCAAATGCGGTACCGACTCATTCAGCAGGTTCAATTGAAGAACCCAATAACCATCGCTCACACCCCACATGGGCACACGAGGTTCTGCAGATTCTACACGGAATTAAATATAACCATCGCGACATACGAGGTTCTGCAAATCCATCGAGGGATCAATAAATAACCGTCGCTCACACCCCACAAGGCACACGAGGTTCTGCAGATTCACCGAGGAATCAATAAATAACCGTCGCTCACACCCCACAAGGGCACACGAGG